GTTAGGGTTACGTCGGAGACGCCAGCGCAGAAGCCATCACTGGAGGAGGAGAAAGGCAAGGAACGCGACGACAGACCGGGGCAGCAGCGTCATTTGCCGGCAATGAATCGCGGTCGAAAGATGGAGACGAGCCTGTTGTTCGCCGAAGCGAGCAGAAGGCACCGGGTCAGCGAGGGCAGGCAGCGATTCATAACAGCGCATGCTCACGAGTACGACCAAGCACTTACTCTGGGTGCTGCGTCAAGCGATCCCGGAGCTTGGCGCAGAGGTTGATAGAGTGGACGGAAGGACCTGACCGGGTTAGAGCAGGGGCGAGGGCGTTGTGGCGCGCGCGCGATCTCGATGCATGATCGCCGCGACTCTGGTTGGCATCCGTGCGTACAGAGCACACGAGCCACGTAGCTTAGACGACAGGGCATCTCGCCATTAGTGCGTCGCTCGGTCGACGTGAGGAAGGCGCATGCAGCCGTCGTAACAGCACGGCGGGCGAGCGCGCGCCGTAAGCGAGCAACGCGCTGCGCAAACGGGCGACCAACTCAATCTGCGTAGATCTGGACGCCGGGAATTGGCCGGGCGGTGTCTCACCGGTGAGTTGCCGGCGGGTCCTGTGGCGTGCGCCCATTTGCTTTCTATGACACTCTGCTGATGAGCGCGGCCTCGCTGGAGCTGGGCTGCGAATGCACCCGCCGGACCCTCGCTCGCAGTCGAACCTTGTCGTGCGCGTGCGACCCGGACCGGGTGCGCGTGAGGGCGACTGAGAACGGCAAATGAGCAGTCTTTTTTTTTTATTTTTTTTATTTTTTTTTTTATTCTCCATGTTTACCCTCCGTACGCTACGTACATGTGGAGCCATATATAGTCTAAGCCATACTTGTTCACCCGCCCTGTGGCGACGGAGTGAGGTACAGCGGGTTCCGTCGGGCATCGGGTCGGGCGCCAATCGCATTCATGCGATCGCGTGCCGCTCGCCGTTCCAACGTATCTTGTGACGCGTCTAACAACTGACTCGCCGAGTCTGCAACTAGTACAAGCTCGGGGTCTAGCAGCGCATCTAGATCCGGCGTGGGGATGCGTGGCAGGGCACGCATCCCGTGTCGGTCACCGGGAACATCACCGGCAAGGGAGAGCTCAAGCTCTTCCGAATCATCACGCAATAGACCACCCTCAGCGTTGAAGGCCTCCCACGTGTTGAATAACTCAAGCGCAAAACACTCGCATTTGGCATCGATGGTCTCAATGAAGTTTTCAACCTCTTTGTCTGATACGCTGACGTATTGCGGGGGTTTACCCATACGGTTCAGCACTTCTTTCCACTTCCGTTGTTTCCAAACGGTGTGGGCGTTGAGCCTGGCCCAAGCCATTGTGCGCTTGGAGCCGGCAGCGTGATCGTCCTTGCATTTCGCAAGAATTTCGGTCCATTCGAAGGACCCGACCCATGGGTTCAACTTCAAAAAGTCAAGAACATCAGACGGTTTCCAAGTCCGTTGGAACCGTGAGTAATAAGTGTCCTTCTTTGTTTGGTGCCACCCGAAGGGACCAATGAAGGACTATGAGAGTGCTTTTTGACGCGAAGCCAAAGAGGACACTCGAAGAGCATATGGTCACGGGTTTCCTTATGGCCACCCTGACCGCATATGCAATACGCGTTCCCATCTCCGAGGAGATTGAATCGCTCTTTGAACTCCCCGCAAGGGAAATGATTGGTGATAACACGACAGAAGCGAGCAGCATCTGCGTTGTTTCCCCATTCGGACAACCCCTTTTTGAAAATAAAGGTACGGTTGCGAACATTGTGGGCGTCAATTCCTTGTGCCACCAAATTTCTTGCCTAAATAGGCATTGGGTCGCGCAACAATGGATGGGTCTGGAATGCCCGCCACGTTGGCTCGCTGTACATGATCCGGATGCTTGTAAAGCTCCGCCCATGAGTGAAGCATTTCCTTCCGAATTTGTTGGAGTCGGAAGGCAAATGAGATGTGCGAGGATACAGGGATCCTCGCATTCCCCGTGATTTCCGAAGCCATTTGATCGACTTCTTCATTCCACATTATGCCCACATGAGATGGGCTCCACAAGAAGATGATCTTGCGACGCTTGGCCATCGCACATCCGCTTCAATGATAGGTTAGCCTTGATTCCGACCAATTGACTCGGTCCGTCTCCAGGCTTAATGATGCGCCGCAAGTTTGATATACTATCGCTTGCAAGCACAATGGTGTCGTCCTCATCCTTGAGCAAGGTTTCGAGAACTTCTAGCCCTTTTGCCGAGGCTATGACCTCGGCATCAAAGCTCGTTGAACGGCCTGCATTGAATGCACCCCTTCTACCTTCTGATTGGCGTGTGATAACATACGCCGATCCAGTCCGTACTCGGTCAAGATCACCGTCTTCTGTGACTGCAGACCCGTCGGTCCACACCACTACCGTGTTTGGATTGGCCTCAAGGCGATTAACCTTGGGCGTCCAGACATTTTTGACCCAGTCTTTGAAGGCCTGGGAAATTTTTCCGTCTTTGTCCTTTTTCTTTGGACCGACGTCAATGTCATCGCGATGCTTGTCTCTTTTGCCAAGCTGGAAGAACATATGGGTGATGCGATTCTCGTCGTCAATGTCGACAAGCCGATCCCCCGGCCTGGCTAGGTCGCTAAGGAGTGAAAACTCCTCATTCGATGCTAGCCCCATGTTGCCAAGAGCTCTCAATGGGGTCTTGGCAGATTTGCGCTTCCCTTCAGGGAAAGGGTGCTCGACGTTGGTGGTGTTGGTTATCCACTTATTCCAAGGATTGCCCTAGTAGGGTGTCCCTCGTGTAATTTCCTGAACCGGAGCGCGTAGCGTTCCATGTATCGGGTGATATTGACCATCACCGGCACTAGTCCGGCTAGAGTCTCCATTGCACCGATGGGCGTGGTGCGGAAGCATCCCGTGATCCATCGGGCAGCTCTGGACTGAGCGGTCTGCATTTCCTTGCCGATCCACTTAATCCCTTTCCACTTTGGTTTCCACCAAAGTTGGGCGCCGTAGCACATGAGAGGAATCACATGTGCAATGTACAGCTGGCGTTTCTGTGCAGGAGTGAACCCTCGCACAGAGTTGCCCAGCATCGATATCGAAGATACCGTGCTAGCAGCTTTGCTCGCATAAAATTTGACATGCGATCGGAACGACAACTTGGGATCCAACCAGAACCCAAGATACCGCATGTTGCCGGTCGGCACCAGGCTGACCGGCTGATCATTGATATGCACCACGAGGTCTGGACCAAAGGGTCGATCCACACGCCATGGTACACGTTTTTTCCAGAAGTGCATAAACTCCAATTTGTCCGCTTCCACGCCTAGGCCAAGCCTGACGAGATCGCGATGAAGTTGGTGGAACATGTTCCGCAAGTACTCGCAGTTTAGTTCCACCTGGCTCTTGCCCGAAACCGAAGAGTTCTTCGGCACAGCAACCATAAGCGCTCCGTCATCGACGAAGAATTGAATTGTCCCATTGCCCGGCAATAACTCGCCAACGGGATAGTGTTTGTGAAGTAAAGGTGCAATATACACCCCGACTTCACCGGTGAGAGCGCGGATCCCTGTCCCACTCCAAGGGGGTCAAGGTTGGCTCTGTAAGCTTCCCATTGAAGAGATATCGTGTGAATCTCCCGTCAAGGTAATCAGCAAAGAATTCACAAAGATCGTCCGCGAACCCTTGCTTCCTCAGCATCGCAATCATCATTGTGTGATTGATCGAAGGATAGAACTGAGACACATCCAGCAAAAGCAAAGATGGCGTCAGGTCCCTGGCCCAGGCTTCATGCACAAAGTGCGTCACCTGCATTCCCGCATCGACAGTACTGTGTTGTATAGTACCACCAAATTGGCATGGGTGTAAGATGCCGTATTTCTGGCCATCAAACTGCATGCGCTTGGCAAGGATCTTTTCAAAGAGCTTGCCAAAGACGCTGAGGAGGCATATCGGGCGATATGCCTTGGCTTTAGAGTAATCCGGCTTATTAGGCTTCGGGATCACTACAGTAATGGAGCGCTTGAACGCGCTCGGGAATTTGTGCATTTTAATGCACGCATTGTAGTATGCTTTGAAAAAAGCATACACTTTAGGGCCCCAATGAACAACATTAACGACATTGCCATTGCGGTCCCTGACCTCCTCAATCATGTGGAAAATGCGCTTAGCCCATTCCCAATTAACATGATCTTCACCCCCGACAGACGTGTTCGACGTGTCTGCCAAGTTCTCTGATATCTCCTCATTGGAGATATCCGGGAATGAGCGCTTCTCAAAGGACCGAAGTTCCTCCAGGATTGACTCATCAATTGCCTTCGGGACGGAAGGCGTAAATTGTTCACGGAACTCCTCTTGGAGTTCCGCTTGTGAATTGATCGGCGTGCCGTCAGCGCGCTTAATTTGCGCACCGGCGTCTAACCGTCTCGGTTTAGCCCAACTCACAAAATTGGAGATGAGCTGAGGGTGGGCCTTCGACAACACGTTGTCAAAGAAGGTGCGCTTCGCGCGGCGTGACGCCGCTCGAACCCATTTGAGCGTCTGCTTGAGGCGCTGTTGCACATGTTCGTGCCACTCATAATAGAGTCGGAATTGCTGGGATTGGTTCCCGAGCGTGTTCCGTGCATGGTGGACCATTGCACGTGAGATTTTGCACTGTTTGCGCACTTTTCTGACGGCCTTGCTTGCGTTACTGCATTCAAGGTTCCACCAAGATTTGGAGCGTCCGGTGCGATCAGGTTTGGCCGCCCCAGCTTTCCATTCTGCCGTGATGCCATTGAATAGGTCATCACCGGTGCGTTCGATATCATCAGCTGTTTCCCACGAGGTGGGCAGCCGTGATATCAATTTGGCAACATTCGTACAAAAGATGTGCGCCTTAACGCCCGTCCGTTGTATTGTCGCTTCAGGTTCCGGAGGAGAACCGGAAATAACCGCCCATGTGAGCGGCGAATGGTCGCTCATGTGTTTGGCTTGGGTCTGGACCTTGAAGTCCACTACCTCATGATCACCACGGTACCAAAGAAGATCCAAGGTACGCGCTGCGGTCATGACATTGTTGGATTGCCAAGTGGCAGGTCCATCCTCTGAATTGCCCAACAAGAGCTGGAGCTCCGTGGCCAAATCCCATAATTCCGCAACTTCGCGCCCATGCGGTGGGCGTTCGTTGTGGAGACGTGTCCGCTTGTCCCATGAAGGATGGCGGAGATTAAAGTCGCCGACCATCACAGAGACGGCTGGCAAAGCGTGAGTTACATTCAGCAGATGCTTCACCGCCGCATGCTTCTCGCTGTCATTATACACATTCAGGACCGAGAACGGCCCGTCCGGCGTGTTCATTTCTACAAGCAGCGTGTCAGGGTGCGACACGGTGCCTGTGATCATGTGGGGGCTAGCCCCCTTCCACTTCCGGTTAACATATGTTGCCACCCGGGATTTGTTTGACGCGCCGAAGCACGTGAAGTTACGATGTGCAACGGTATTTTCATACTCGTCGCCATCCTTGGACTTGCTAGACGGTACACTTTTAATGTGACCCCAGAAAATTTCTTGAACACAGACCACGTCATGGTCTCTGAACTTTTCTAAAAGCTGATGCGTATTCTCAGCGGACTTCTGTACGTTGGCAGAAACAAATTGTATACGGTATTGTACACGAGGGACTACAGGATCGTCAACGCGACTCATAGCAGCTACAGGGACAGCCAGTTGAGGGTCTGCCACTCGGTCCTCGAGGAACGCATCAAGCACCTCTTGGATATTCTCGATCGGGACGTTGAAGTCGCCGTCAGGGTCTGGGGGAAAAGAGCGAGCTGGCTCCCCCTGGTCAGCACGTGCGTCGGGTGTATTACACATTAGGCAACGTACAAATTTAAGAACGATCAACGGGCATGCCCGTGACCTCTTCAATGCGAGCCTCAAAGGTCTCGCCCGATCCAGAAGCAGCAGTATCAGCGGCAGCTTTCGCCACGCGCTTAGCCTTGGCTCTGAGGGCGCGAATCGCGTTATCGACGCGCTTCTGTTGGTCAACCACCTTTTCGATGCCCTTGACCGTGTTGTCGTACCAGGCCTTCTGCATGTTCCGTTTCCAGAACTTGCAGCGCCGGTCAGACAGACCGTGCCCACTGACTTGACAGTTGGGGCAGTACTTGTGTTCGTCAGGGCAGAGATCGGGGATCCCGCCCGTAGCGATACGGTGTTCGGCGCAACACAACGCAGAAGCATTGTGCTCGTCCTCGTAGTGTGACTCGCCGCAGCGCGGGCAGCAAGCACGGAAGGAGCACTGGGCGGCACCATGGCCCCAGCGCCAACACGTCGAGCACGGGGTTTTGCTGTTAAGCGGCGCCACGATCTCGACATTGTGCTTTGTAAACACGTCCCGTCCGTTTCCGTCGCGCTCAGCGAGAAGAACAGGGTACTTGGTGAGCGCGATAGCGCGTCTCCCACTGTGGGCGTCACGGACGGCACACACAACGTTGCCTCCTCCGTTCCTGCCTTCAAGCCGGGCGTTCGGCGAATTGTGGAACGGTATGCACGCCTCGACAAAGTCGCGGGTGTGCTTATCGCTCTTGGCGGCCTCATTCAACGCGTTCCAGAAGTAGTCTGAACCGCGATTCTGAATCTTGTTCTGGGCGTCCGTGTACCGCCATCTGCAGTTACGGATCGCCACCGACGTGAGCACCGTCTGATACTCGACCTGGATCCCGACGTCATCGTGCGGAATCAACGCGCGGAGCTTGTCAGTGACCGCTGCAGCGATCGCCTCAAACTCGTCATGGTCAGGGCGCGTCGCATAAGCGACGAACACATCCCGGTGGCCGGATTGCTTGATGTTAGCTCCGACGGCTTGGTTGATCTTTCCCTTGGCCTTGAGAGCCTGGGTGGACCAATTGACGAAGTCCTCAGCGCTAATGGGCGTGATGGACTCGGAGAGGGACCGAGTGAGACGAATGATGATCGTCTTCGCTCCGTCCTTGCTGTTGCCCTGGCGGATATGCGCAGGCGGGGGAGGCTTAGGCTTGGGCGCAGTGGCCTGAGCGGGAGCGGCGGGGGGCACGACCTTGGCGACCTGTTTCGAGGACGCTGACGCAGCCGGAACAAGCGCCTGGGAAGCAGCATCGAGCTGCGACAGGGGCTGGAAGGGGTCCGTGGCAGAGCCAGAACCGAAGAAAGACCGGAATCCCGTGCCAAGACGGTGAGCCTGATCGATGGTGAGGTCCGGGGCAAGCATACCCACGGTGGACGCGTTGTGGATGTCAATCCACTGTTCGCGAGTGGTCGGCACTGGGAAGGCGCTCGACACTTTGGGAGACGAGCCGCGCGCCTTCTTGGAAGACGGCTGCTTGATTTCTCCATCCTCGGCACCTGAGTCGGCACCGCTATCTTTAGCCGCCTTTGACGCAGTCCGCTTTCGCGGGTCCTTTGTCGGGGGGGCACGTCGTCGGCCCAGCTGACCTCCTTCTCCTTCCCCTTGCGGCTGGGAGCGGGTCCACTGGTCGTGGAAGCGTTGGACGCTGACGCGACCGAAAAGAACACAAAAGCCACACAAAAACCCAACCGTGAGGTCGAGCAGTGGTATGCGAGGCCTCTGCGTCTATGAGATGTACGGGGGACTGTACAGTGGTCTAGGTAAGAAGGAGGAGGACGGACAAGACTCCGAACGACGTGGGAGAGCTTCGAAGATGTCGAAGACTGTTCGAAGACGAGGGCTAAGCCTCGAAGGTAGGAGGGGGAGTTTCGACAGACGTGTCGAACGAGCGGCGACAAGGAAGGCGAGCGACGGCAGGAGAATAAGTGTAGAGCCTCTCGGGGCAACTACGAGCTGGCGAACGTACTGGCGAACTGACTGACTGACTTCGAACGTACTGACTGACCGGCGAATTTGCTGACTTCGAACGTACTGGCTGACTGACGAACCTCGCCGGTGCGAGGTGAGATTGAGAGGGTAAGGGGGTCTCTGAGATTCGAAGGGAACAAGTCCCAGAGTATATACAGGAAAATACGGTCCGAAGACCAAGAGAGCCAAGAGAAATACAAGAAATGATGAATGAAAGTGATAAGGAAAGTAGCCAATCGGAGAATGTTACAACGCTCGACCCGGACCTACTAACACATGAGAGCATCCAACTCGGCCTTCCGCAGGTTCCGCATAACGGGCGACCGCCCCCGAACGGCGAAGGTCATAACCGGAGCCGGTGACAGTCCTCGAAGATATGAGACAGCGGCAGGAGTTCGCCTGACTTACACGAACATGCCGCACCTCGACCCAACTTCCGAAGCGTATGCTGCCCGCTACTACCGCCTCCTAGAGGTCCTCAAGACCGAGGGACTTGTCGAGCCGCGATACGATGCCAACAGTCCCGGAGAGTGGCTGGCTTGGGCTCACGGAGTCCGTTGGATGATCGTACGTGCCTCCGAACTTAGACTATCGTTCGAACCATCGAACCGACCTTCGAACAGCGATTCTTGTTCGAGTCCCGCAGCCGGGCCATACTGCTGGCGAACGATACGCTTCCTGCTCCTAGGTCGTTCCCCGAGATCGACGAGTTGATGCGTTACCTCGACGAGGTCTTTCACCGCGATGGCAACCAGGGAGACATCCTAGGTTCGCCCTACCCTACGATCGCGTGGTCCGAGACCTTGGTACTGCTCGAACAAGTCAACCAGGCCGAGCGTCGTCCCCTCGCGAACCCGCAGTATCAGCGCGAGTCGTTGATCCTGTCCGACTTTCGCCAGCTGCCCGACAACCTCGAGTCCATGGGTCGAGCGATCCACAACATCGCAGTCGACCAGCGCCGCACGCACGGTACCCTCGTTGGGTTGCTCGAAAGCCTGCTCGAGCGCGTCAACACTGACCGTGGTTCCGACACCGGCCCGTCTGTTCGTAGGGGTAGGGGTGGTGGTCATGGGTGTGGAGGTCGAGGCCATAGATACGAGAGTTGCCGAGGTCGTCACTAGTTAGTTTGACGTAGCCATGTACTTGCCCCGGAGTCCTACCAATGTAGCGACGCTTCTAAACCGCTTGCCTCTGCCACTAAGGGTTCCGAACATTGACGCTTGAGCTTCGAACATTGGACGGTTCCCTCGAACGGACGGACAGTGCGTCGACCATACGGACTTAGTATACTGTCGTACCGACCGTAAATCGCGTTTTCGGTGGTAGGTGAGCTAAGGGCTCATCATCTCCCCCTTACTGAGATCCAGACCGTCCTCGGTCGGCTCGAACACGCCGGCGCTTGATTTGCGTCCGCGATCATCGAGATACTTCCGCGCCAGGCCGTCCGAAGGTCTTGTCCAATGGCGAGCACTTGAGAAGCGATTAGCGAACGGCAGGACGCGCTTCGATCACGTTGATCCGAAGAATTAATCCCATTGGACGGGAGGTGAGCGCTTCCTTCCCGTTTTGGACTGGTTCTGATGGGGATGATCCCCGTTGTTTCAGCGTCTCGAATGCGGTAGGTGGACCCACAAAGCTCGAGCACACATATAGCGGCGGGGTCTCCAGCCGAATTTCGCTTGATCCCCCGCTCCGCTCGCTCTTGACTTCGTCCGTCTCTCCATGTCCGCCTCGCCTGCCTCCGCTCCCGCGCCCGTCCCTGATCTCGCCGGCGCGCCTGCGTCGGACGCCGACTACACCGTGGATCCCAAAACCGGCTTCCCCGTTCCGCACGACCCGAAGAGCCCAATGGCTCCGCTCGCCAATTGGGTCGTGGCGCACCTCGTCCCAGAGAACCCTGAGGCGATCGAAGAGTGGATTGAGGGCGCCTTCGCTGCCATGGTAAGTCGTGTCCGTCTCGTTTAAGTCTTGTTAATTTAAGTGTTCGAAGAATCGGTACACTCGCGTGACTAAGGGCGCGGCCCTCGCTGCCCGTTACGCGAACGCGTTGGGACGGCTGCTCGTCCTCGCCACTCACGCCAATCCGGAGGCCGCGCGCCAATGCGCCGAGAACATGCAGTGGCCACTG